CAACCCCCCTAAACATTTCCTGTTCCCTAAACTCATTCATCTGTTCTTCTGTTTTCAAAAACACTGCCTCTCTCCTGACTTTCATCCCCACATCCATCAGCCCCTGATGCATGTATTTTCATCCTCCAACGTGATTCTCAACCTATGAGGTTGTCAAAGTAACCAGTGAGAGCATTCATGGTTATGACACTGAATGTCTGTCGCCACATCTGCAGTTGTGTGACACAGGGCCACACAGAGAAAAGAAAGACTGGAAGGACCTATTCTTGCTCCTGCCCAGCTCTGGGCTAGGAGGATCAACCAGCATTCCAAACTTTTATGTGAAATAAAACCTATGAATTTTATTTTATAGTCTTCTTAATCTTTGCAAATCATATATATTGCTGGAAGTGAGAACTTTGAGAAGTTGGACCACATGACATTCCATATGCTTGGTTTTATGGTCTTGGAGTCAGGATCAGAATTTTCCCCTAAAACAGTGGGAAAGAACTTTCTAGCTCCTTGGTTCACACTTACCAGTGGGTCAAGAGTTCAGGGTGCGGTGGTGGGAAATGGATGTAATGGTGGTCTCTAGGCTCCCACTGGGCTATGAGGCATTCAGCCTGATATTAACAGAGACTGAGTGATGCTTCTGGGGCCATAGAGACTGAATAGAACTGGACTAAATTAATGACTCCTACATTTCCATAGCGGGGTTATCCACCAAAACATGGTCCTGAGATGACTGAGAAGTGGTTTCTCAGACTGGTGTGAAAGGGTAATTGTTCCTGGATGTTTCCCCAGAATCTTTTCTTTGCAGATTCGTGAAGATGAGCACCTGGTTTCCACCCACACTTTTGGACCTGGCAGTCCAGAGTCTGCTGAGGGACAAGAACTTGGTGATCCGGGCTCTGGAGGAACTTCCCAGGGAGCTCTTCCCACCGCTTTTCATGGAGGCTTTCACCAGGGGACACACTGAGGTCCTGAAGGCCTTGGTGCCAGCTTGGCCTTTCCCCTGCCTCCCTCTGGGGGTCCTGATGAAAATGAGAAACACAGAGATCGCCCAAACTCAGCTGAACATTTTCCGGCTGCCAGCATGGGACCTGCAGTTCTTTCAAGCTGTGCTGGATGGGCTTGATGTGCTGCTGGCTCAGAAGGTTCGCCCCAGGTGAGGGTGACCAGGTATCCTGGAGGGAGGGCCCTAGGCATCTGGGAAGGGGCAGCAAGGGTAATGGAGACTGGTGAGGCTGGAGGGTGGAGCAGAGGCTTCTGATGGTGACTGCCAGGAGGATCAGAGAGGTCTCAGTCACTGCTGAGCCTCCTGGGTATTTGCTGCTGGACGAGGAGGACTGCTAACAGAGGAGGCAGCAGTGAAAGAGCACTAAGAGTGGGGATGGGGGTGCAACCAAGAGGGAAAGGGTAAGAAGTAAAGCAGAGAGAGGAGTGGAGCAGAGAAGGAAGCTGCTATCGAGGATGAGCAGTAAATCACAGGAATAAAGCTGAGCCTGGGCCTGAATGCTAAGATGCCTTCTCCATTTGCCCACAGGAGGTGGAAACTGCAAGTGTTGGATATGCGGAACATGCACCTAAACTTCTGGAGGGTCTGGGCTGGAAACTTGGCTGATCCTGGTTTCCCAGAGGTCACAATGGGTAGGGAAATGAAGAAGGATGGGCCAAAGTTGGCAGAAAAGCAGCCCCTAAGGGTGCTCATAGACCTGAACCTCCATCTGGATTGTCTGGATTCACCTTTACATTTTCTTTTTAAGTGGGCCCAGGAGAGGAGGGGTTTGCTTCAAGTGGAGTGTAGAAAGCTGTGTATAGATGCAGTTTCTCCTGAAACAATTTTGAACATGCTGGAAATTGCTGACTTCGGATTCATGGAGGATGTGGAAGTCCATGGTTTCTGGGCTCTCTTTGTTCTGTGTAATTTTGACTCTTACCTGGGCCAGATGAAAAATCTTCAGAAGCTACTTCTCTCTCACATCCATGTGCCTGATTGCCTTCCTCCAGATGAGACGGAGAAGTTGGTGACCCAATTAACCTCTCATTTCCTAAACCAGCACCACCTACAGGAGCTTCATATGAACAATGTCTCCTTTTTGGAAGGCCACCTCACTGAGGTGCTCAGGTAGGATGAGTTGCTCTCTTTGCAGAGCACAGACCTTCTTTGTTCTATAAAGTTTAGTGAACATGGACTGTGTGCCACCCACTGGTGATGTAACTGACATCCAGACACTACAATGTCAACAACCCATTGTCGTGTTTGATAGTCCTAAAGCATGGCCTCATGTAAACACTAAACTGGAGTAACCAGTCTGAAAAAGGCACCATGCTGAGATGCCAGATGTGGCGAGATCAGATGCAGTTAGGGTAGTCTTGTGAATACTGTCAGAGGAAGCTCATCTAGGTTAAGGTGCTGAGAAATGGGGAAGAGACCAGCCATTGCAGGAGAGAAAGGCCTGATGCGTCACGTTCAATGTGTGAGGGACAGCTCATCAGATGTGTGTCAGGGAGAGAGCTTGTCTCTATGTCTGCCTCTCAGAAAGGCTACTGTGGGCTCCAGTCAGGGTAATTAGATCAGAAGGGCCACAATCTGCAGCTGAAGGCGAAGAGCAGGTCGGGGAACTGGGAACAGAGATGCAAGCTTCGCTTAGGACACAGGGGCATCCTCAGTCCAATTGGATACATTTTCCAAAATGTGCCTTTCCTCCCTGTCTCCCACTGGCATAATCTGGCTAGTGAGGAAAGAGGACTGTAGCACTTGGGCACTTAGCCAGCTATCCAAGTGATGGCTTCATATTAAGTTGGGGTGATTTGAATGGTCAGTACCTGAACACACAGACACCATCCTGGTCATGACATCATGAGATGATTAGCATGATATTGGGGCCAAGCAGTTTTTTTTTGGTACCGGGGATTGAACTCGGGTCCTTGCGCTTGCGCAGCAGGGAGCGAAACCACTGAGCTAAATCCCCAGCCCCAGCAGTTTTCTTCCACACTGTACTGCTCATCCCCAATTGCCAGACTAATTGCTCGTTCTTTCTGTAGGTGCCTGAAGATTCACTTGGAGACCCTCTCAATAACACATTTGCAGCTTTCACACATAGACTGGAACCATTTGTCCCAGTGCCCAAGCATCAGTCAGCTAAAACGCCTGTGTCTGAGTGGTGTCAGGTTGACTGAATTTAGACCTGAGCCCCTCCAAGTTCTTCTGGAGAAAGTTGCAGGTACCCTGACCACGCTGTACTTGGAATCCTGTGGGATCACTGACTTCCACCTCAGAGCCATCATTCCTGCCCTGAGCCTCTGCTCTCAGCTCAGCACCTTAAGCTGCATACAGAACTCCATCTCTGTGGCCACCTTGGAGAACCTGCTGTACCACACTGCCAGGATGAGAAATTTAAGACTGGAGCTGTACCCTATTCCTCGGGAGGTTCATAGTTCTAGACTGGGGCAGCTTAGGGATGCGATGAGGAGGATTGTAAAGCCGTTAAACTACCCCAGGACTGCCTGGCTCAGTATTAATGAGTATTATTGTCCCAGTGGTGTCTGGGAAACCTGTTACCTGGAGTTTAGTGAGTGCTCTAACAGTATCCCTATGTAGCTGGACACATATATTCTATGCTGTCTTTAGGCCACTGGGAACAAAGAGCCCATGTTTCTGTGTGATTGGTGAAAAAAGATGTTGGACAGCTGGAGGGCAGCCTTGGATGGAAAAATGTTGACCTGGAAGGTAGAAGTGATCTTTGGAGACATGAGTCCTAGACAGGGTCAGAAATAGGAACCCGGGTCTAGAAGTAAATTCGTGCATGGATGGATATAAAGAAGTGTTCAGAAATAAAGAGAACCACAATGTAAAGTATCTGGTTTCCTCCACCATCATTTAAAAATGTTTTCCACCTGTGACCCTATAAATCTGAAGTTACTGTTGGGAAAAGGACCTGAGTTGTCTTGTCAATGAGGTTTGACTTCCAGAACTCAGAGCATCAGAAAAGTTGACATATGGATCATTTCCTCCCATTTTCAGTTTTCTCAGGTACTCATTACCTCTTTGTTTCTTGATTTTTCTCCTCCTTCCTCATATTCCTGTGGTCCTCAGGCTCATCTCGGGGCCTTCACACTGAGCTAAAACCATGGCCCCTTTTTAGTTCAAGACAAAGGCACTCTGAATTGCCCTGATAGGATTTAAACTTGAGCTCCTCCTGCCTTAACCTTCCAGAGTGCTGCGATTCCAGGGATTCCCTTGCTTGCTTTTTTCTTTGGCTGATCTTTGGGTTAATTTCAGGTTGTTCACTAGAATGCCTAGCAGTGACCAACTCTATGAAGCACATTTGGGGGGGAAATTGCAGGAACTATGGTCAGAAATGTGCATGCTATGGTGGACCATTGGTGCCCCCACAAGGGAAGGGACAATGGGGAATGATTTAGAGGAAAAGAGACCATGTAACCTTCACTGAAGCAAAGACCATTGTGACAGGAGCCTCTGGCATGAGGGACACACTCAAGGCCCAGAACAGTCTATGTGAGTAATGGAGAAAACTCATTATTTCCAGGGGCCAGAGATGACCAGACACCAAGACTCTGGACACTGGTCATGGGAGGATCTGGGAGACTCAGGCCTCAGTCCTTGGCTGTGCTGACAAAGGGCTCCCTCTGCTGGAACTGGAGAATATCATATTTTATATGAGCCAGAGACTCAGCCTCACCAACCCACCACTGTCATCCTCTTGGGTGACAACCTTCTAGCATTAAATTAATTGTGGCCACTAAAGAAAATCTAATTCCCTCTTAGTGAAATACTAAAAGCACACCGGTGTATAACGCTTTAGGAATATTTCTTGTATTAAAAGATATTTTGGGGGTGTAGGTCATAGCAAAGAGTGCTGTTTCCTCCTGTCTCTATCATAAGAGACCAACATAAGCTGAGTATGGTGGTGTACATGCCTGTAATCCCAGCACTCAGGAGACTGAGGCCAGAGGACCACTGTGAGTTTGAGGCTAGCCCGAGATAGGGATATATAGTGAGTTCAAGGCTAACTTGTCTCACAAAGAGGGAGGGAAGGAGAAAGTGAGAGAGAGGGGAACTAATCTTGTTTTGAATTCAACCTATTACCAGAGTGTAAACAATGACTAAATACTTGCGGGGTGGGTGAGTGACCCTACCTGTAGTACTTGGTCCTGTACAAAGAGCATCTGTTATGGTTATAACCAGCTGTCCCCCCAAATCTTCATATGCTCATAGGTGGGGCTTTTGGGAAGTTGCTGGTTCATGAATGTATGATATTGAATTAGGAGTGTGATTACTGGATTAATTTCCTGATTGGTTTAGCATAACTCAGGGTACGCATAATAGGAAGACCCATCCTGGGAGGGAGTGGTACCATCCAATAGGCTTGTAGCATGGGTGGAGTAAAAGATAAAGGAGAAGGAAGGCTGCTGCTTCCCCTTGTCTGCCATAGCATGGAGTGTTTCTCCTCTGCTATGCTCCTCTGCCATGTTGCCCTGCCTCGGAACCAGCCAACTATACCCTTAAACCTCTACAAATGGTGAGTTAAAATAAACCTTTCCTCCTTTAACTTATGGATGTTGGGTATTTTGTCTCAGTGACAAGGAAGTAACAAAGAGAGCATCTCAGTGAGAACTCCCTTTTGGAGATCCTGGAGCCAGCAGTGTTGGACAGGGCACTGTAGACTAGAGTGCTACTGTCAGTTGAGGATAATGATCCAAACCCAGCTTATAGGGTCCTTGCTAGAGCTAATGAGATGATGCACTTTTGGAGCTTGGCATAGAGCCTAGTGTACTATGAGAGCTAAATAAATAAATCCATTTAATATCTTACAGTAGATGTCAATAACATTCTTCATCTTATATGAGGAAATGATTCCTCTAGGGATGGTGGTACAAAATAGAATTAAACAGAACTTCATGGTTCTGGTATTTGTGATGGTCAAATAACATGGTTTCCAGTTTAAACCTCAGTAATCTCCACTTACTATTGGGAGAAGAAAAGGCTCCCACCAGTGTGTAGTCCACAATGTTTAGCTGCAGAAATTCACAACCTTGGGATGAACTGGGCCATGTGAGTGGTCCCCTCTCTTTCTGTTCTTCTCTCGGGCCCCGTTATGGCTTATTTCTAAGTATCTCCCAAAGCCTCTTGCACTACAGGTGGGGTTTTAGGAAGCTGATGGATCATGGGGCTGATACTCGTCAGTGGATTAGTCCACTGATGGGTTTATAGGTAAATATGATGTTGAGATGTGAAGTCTGGTCAGAGGAGGTGGGTTTCTAAGGCGCATGGCCTAGAAAGATATATCTTCCTCATGTTTCCCTGGATCTCTCTCTGCCTCCTACCACCATGCCATGAGCTGTTTCTCCTCTACCATGCCCCTCTGCCATGATGGCCAGTCTTCAAGTCAGCTGACTGTGGACTAAAACTTTTACAAACCATGATCCAAAATAAACCTTTCTTCCTTAACCTTGTGTGTGTCAGATATTGTGTCTCACTGAGCAGAAAGTAACTAAGATTGATTTTGTTACCAGAGAATTGAAGTCATTGTTGTAACAGCCTGGCCATGTTATTTATGAAGCCTTTGGAACTGGTTTGTGGGAAGAGTTCAAAAGGGGTTGGAGATGCCAAGAGGAAAAGGGGCCCCAAAATGCCATAATCCAAGGTTGGTGAAAGATCTAGTCAGGGCTCTGAAGACAAGAATGTCTAGAGAAATGCAGATGGAAAACACCAGGCTCAGGAGTTTCAATTGTGAACAAGATTTGCATTGGCAATTGGACTCCTGATCATGTATGTTATGCTCTGGCAATACATTTGTCTACATTTTTCTCATTTTTTGAGACTTTGTGGAAACTGAGGTTAAGGATGGTGGACTAATTAATTGGACAGGAAATTTCAAGGCAGTCTAATGTTGCCACTGTGGCATAGGTACTATTAAGGGGATTTAGCCAGCTCTACATTGAGAATGAAGAGCAAACCACCATTTAAATCATTTGAATGATTTAAAAGGTTTTGTGTTTGGCCAGAAAGGAAGCTCTGGTAAACCTGGGAATTCCAAGATGGAGCAGATGAAAACTTTGGTGATAAAATATTTGACCCTAGAGCCAGGTGTGGTGATGAATGCCTATTATCCCTGAGTGGGAAAGAAGGGACATGAACTGAACAGTCTAAGCAGGTTTAGTCCTAAACCCTAGAGGGACCTCTCTGTGTGAGCAGTACAGTGTCTCTTACAGGATAAGGGGCCTTTAAATCGGAATTTTTTGGTGGGCTTATGAAGGGGTGGGTTGGAGAAATGGTGGGTTTGTGGCTTGCTGATTTGTCCTCTGTGACCTACTGACACGTCCTCAGGGGGACTGCTCATGACCTGCTGACATGTCCTCTGTGACCTGGTGACATTTTCTCTGGTGTCTGCTCGTACCTAAGTAACATGAAACTTCCGTTTCTCTAAGATGGTGGATGGGCTCATTTTAACTGGTAGTGTCCCTGTGTGGGCTCTATCAATCCTAATACTCAGGAAGCTGGGGCAGGAGGATCTCTGAGAGTTCTAGGACAATCTGGGCTATGTAGTGAGCTCAAGCCCAAACTAAACTACATATTGAGAGCCTGTCACAATAATTTTTGTCAAATAGAAAGATCAGTATGATTAAGGATGAGGGTGTGAAAGGAACCAGCAGGACCTTGCCCTTTGTAGGCTCAAAATAGCAAAAGTGAAAGACTTTCTTTGAGAAGAGAGCCCCAAGGTGTTTTGCTCCAGAGTGGGACTCATTGTCTGACCTCACAAACCCTCCCTGTGATCCTAGTGGACAACAGTCCTTGAATTAGGTTAGTTGAGGTCAGTAAAGAATCCAAGTGAGTTTTTCTTTTAAAAAATTTAATATAATGGGATTTAACAATATTTAAATATTTCTATACCACATTTTTTGGAAATACTGTCTTACTATGTACTTCAGGCTGGACTTGAACTCACTATGTACATCAAACTGACCTCGAACACACAGCAATCCTCCTGTGTTAGCTTCCCAACTGCTGAGATTAGGGGTATTCACCACGATGACCGGAAACACATTTTAAGTATATAAACTTTCAGGGAACTCGGTCATCACAGGGAGAGATCTTCCCATAACACCTGTCATCTCTCCTGAACAAGAAAGACAAAGATGGCATAGTTTGAGATAAGCAAATGTTCAAAGAATGAAAGTGACAAAGAACTTGGGTGCAGATGAGATACCTTAACCACACTGGGAGGTCCTGAGCAAAGGGCAGCTGAGTGACGGCTTCCTGCCGATGATCCAGGGGCTGGTGTTGGTCAGGGGACCTCAGTCAAGACCTTAGCTTCTCTGTCAAATAAAGATGATGTCACACAGCCAGGGGTTGGTGCCCTCATAGTAACCAGTGAGATGAGGCACGTTTCTACCTTGGCTTGTGGTGGCACAGCACACAGTAATTTACCACCTATTTATCCACCTCTCAATTTACCCTCTGTTCCTGATAACAAGGAGGACAAGGGGCACAAATGGGACTCGGATTTTACATGTGGCCACTATTGAATCAAGGTTCAACAAAATGGCAGTTTTGCAGCCAGAGAGTTTGGAAGTGGGGAAAACCAAGCCTGGATTCACTGCCAGTAATTGAGAGATACAAAGTTCCAAGCTTGTGGGGTTCACTTGCCATCTACTCGTAGTTCAGAGTTGATGCTATGATATTTTACAAAAATCACTATGTATTACAGTAGTATTATAAAATGCTATTTACTATAAATTTTTAAACTATGATATTTTTTCAGTTGTGGGATTAACCTAGCACCTCTACACTGAACAACATCCCCAATATTTAAAAATTAAAAAAAAATTTGTTTGATTTTTATACAGCAAAACATTTATTATTGGTACAGATTAGGCATACATAATGATAACAGTTATCATAGGGAATTTGTACCCTTACATGATACATCCTACCTCTTTTTTTCCCATCCCCCCTCCCCTCAAGCTTACAACAAATTTTTAAATGTATTTATTCATTTATTGTACTGGGAATGAACCCAAAACCTTTACAGTAAGCTATAAATCTGGCACTTTTTGTTTTTAATTTTGAGAAAGTATCTTGCTAAATTGCTAAGCTTCCCAGATTGCTGTGATTTTAGGCATATACCCCCACTCCTTGCCTTTTTTGTTGTTGTTGTTTTCTTTTTAGATGAGGTCTGCCTGATCCAAAAACTTCCCTGAGCTGGAAAATTTAGTGTTGGGCCAGGAATGTAGCTCAGTGGTGTTGCACCTGCCTGGCAAGTGCAAGGTTCTGAGTACGATTCCCAGTAGCCGCCCCCCCCCAACCCAATGCAACAAGAAAATTTAGTCTTTGTACACAATAACTGGATAAAAGGAAGAAAGAACTAGAGGAAAGAAGGAAGGGGTGAGGGAACCAAGGAAGAAAGAAAGGAAAGATGGAATGAGTGAAAAAGTTTATTACGCAACCAACTGAACAATTTCTTTGATTTCCTTGTTTCTTCCATCAACACTGGCCTGACAGAGCTGTCCTCAGAACACTGAGCTTAATTTCATCCTGGCATTCCTGAACTTTGAATTTCTTATTCCTCAAATATAAAATTTTGACTTAGGCATGGGCATTTGGCCATATTAAAAATTGCATCTTTCCCAGGAATAGTGAGGCAGGCACAAATCGCAGCACTCTGGGTAGCTGAGGCAGGAGGATCACAAATCTGAGTACAGATTGGAAAACAGCCTGGTGCTGTCTGAAAACACAATAAAAAGGGCTGGGGGTTTAGCTCAGTGGTAAAGCACTTGCCTAACATGTGCAGGCTCTAGTTTCTATTCCAAGTAACACCTCTCCAAAAGAAGTAAAAGGGAAAAATCTCCCTGTATTTTAACATGTGGATAACGAGGCCCCCTTTAATAAAATTCATGGCCAATTGCAGGGACTCAGCACTTACTTCTCCTTGCACTTCAGCTCTGATTCCCTGCACACAGGCCTTGGCTTAAGTTTTGAAGAACAGCCTTTCTCTTGGGGGCCCATGTTTTCCTCCCTCAGTGGGTGTGGGGCCCAAAGTCAGATGCCATAACACCTGGTGAGCACTGGATACATGGAGATTTCTCCTTTGATTCCATTGGAGATTATATCGCTCTTTTTGCATCATTACTCTCACTCTGAGATATTTTAATAGCTTTTATGCATCAAAGATTGCTTAACAAAAATATTTCTGATTTGATTACTTTGGTCCAATCTCAAGAACAGGTTAGGGTTGGGGATGTAGCTCAGTGGCACTGTGCCTGCCTGTCAAGCACAAGGTCTTGAGTTTGATCCCTGGTACTGGGGCAGGGGGACAGGTTAAATCCTCATTCATGTGTTTCACATGCAGAATTATGATAGTCACATGTGAGTAAAACTCAACCAATGGTGTGGAGTGAATCAGTGAATGCGTTTTTAGGGTTACCCTCTTCCTAATTCTTTCCTTTCAAAAATGGACATTTAATCCAGTGTACTAATCCAAAGTAAAATGAAAATCAATCAGGATTAACCGGGTGGAAGTTAAGAAACCTACAATCTGATTGGAAAGTAGTAGTTGAAAAGGAGAGATAGGCTCAGATAGGTGAGTAAAATCTTCTAAGGAGCCATCTAGGATTCTGGAGGCTGAAGTCACTGCCTGGTTTCCTGGGAGGCCTGAGTACCTGGCCGATCTCATTCACCTCTGGAAAGTGAATACCCAGAAAAGGGCACTCATCCTGCCTGTCCTCAGCCAGTCTCTTATGGTGACCTGCAGAGAGAAGCCATGAATGTTCCTTTTTCTGTAGATTCACATCAGCAGATATGTAAGACTTTGATTTTGCCTCAATGTAATTTTTGGTTTCATCCTAAATATTTCTATTTTTGTTATAGCTTATGTCACTATATAATTTCGTAACTATGTAGATATAAAAAAACAACTAAAATTGATTAGAATATTTTAGGGGAAGGGGCTGGGGATTAAACCTATGGTCTTTGCAGTGAAATACATTAATAGCCATTTTAAAATTTATTTTGAGACATGGTCTGGTTAATTGCTAAGTTACCCAGGCTGGTCTCGAATTTGTGATCCTCTGTCTCAGAATTACAAAGTGGTCATGTTACATGTGTGTACCACCAAGCCCAGCTATTGACTCTTCAAATATTTGGTTTCTTTGCTTTATTGATCATACATTATGAGGTTTTATGAATAGATGAGATAGATGTTTTTTATAAGTATGAGCTTAAAAATGTTCTATGCAATACTTTTTAAAGTATGGTCCTCTTTTTAAATCTATTTCTTCTCCATCTTAATCCTACAGTGGTACATTTCAAATGTAGAAGATATATAAATGGAAATTTACATTGTAGTCTTAGCATTTTCTACCTCTATTATTATTATTATTATTTTTATTTTTATTTTTTTGGTGTTGTTGTTTTAGTACCAGGGATCTAACTCGGGACCTTGCACTTGTGACGCAGGCACTGGAACCACTGAGCTAAATCCCCGGCTGCATTTTCTATCTCTATTATTAAGATGCTCATTCAGGTTTTTTTTTTTTTTTACCTATTTTCCAAAAATTCACCCTGGGTATACTGAGTATAATTGCTGTGAAAATTTGGTTCATTTCCTCTTTGAATTCATCACTTTTTTTTTCATCTCAGCTATGAATCTTTTATACATTTCTGCTACCTGATGTTCGTTCTTTTCCTATTCCAGCTTCTTGCTCTCCGCTGCATGAGTTAGAGGAATTCAGGGAAATTCTATTTCTATGCTTCCCCATGCTCCTATGTGTATCTGTGGGGTGTTTGTTTGTTTGTTTGTTTATCTGTAATTTTTTCATCATATAAAAGTAAAAGACAACTTTAAAGAACCCATAATCCTCTCCCAATAACACTAGTAGAATCTGTCAATGATCGTTATGAACTTGGGATAACAACAGCAGAACGAATTTAAGGGTGGTAGTGAGATTTCAGCGCCAGGCTAGACACCTAACAAGGGCCCAGTACAAGACAGGAAGCAATTCTGACCTAACTAGACTTCACACTTTAATCATAGGGCTGCCTAATCTTCAGAGGGAGGTGCTAATACGTTATCTGGATTTGCTGATGAGGGACATGAGAGGTTAAGACTCCTGCCCGACACCACACAGCTCCCGCAGGCCAAACAGCATGGGAACAACTGGGGAAGAAAGGAAAAGATTATGGTCCATCCCTCTCCTATGTGCTCTGCCCTTCTGCCAAGACGCTTCAGTAACTTCCAGGTCCATCCTCCTACATTCCTCCTCCTGGCCCCACTGCCTTTCTTCCAACCTCCATCTGCAACTGGAAAGCCCAAATACTGTAGGTGAGCTGTAAGGTTGGGGCGCCTCCTAGTGGACAATGAGTGCCTACAACAAGAGTAGATGTGGGGGAGGGTGTCTGAGTACCCGGATGTACCATGGCTGTGGGTTTCACTAGATCTCGAAATGAGAAAGCTATCTCACTTGTTTATTTCTGCAGCATGGCCCAGGAGGACCAGTTTATGCTGGGGGGTGGGAGTAGGGGTAAAGAGACAGTGGCATAGAGTTGAATTCAGGTAACTGCTGTTCCCTAAAATTTGCAAAGTCCAGGTTCCATACTTCTCTTCATCTTGTTTCCCAATCATTTTCTGTTCCGAGCTCATTTGCCTGGTGTTTCCTCTTTTCTAAAACACTGACTCTAGTATGTCTTCCACCACGCAGCTTCACTAAATTCCCATTCATGTATATTCATCCACCAGGATGGTTCTGGCCCTAAGAGAGTCCCATGCCAGCTGCTGACACTGCTCTGCTGTTAAGTCATTGAATGTTTGTTTCAAGCCACCAGGTAGCTGTGAGAATCAGGGTATCCAAGTTGGAGAGGGACAAATAGGACCTGTCCTCGGTCCTGCCCAGCTCTGGGCTGAAAGGAATAATCAACACTCTACAACTGTTTGAAGTGAAAATCATGACACTCATTTTACAGATTCTTTTTAATTTTCCCAGTCAGGTGCATAGTTGGAACTGAGAAGTTAGAGGTTGGGCCATATGACATTTTCATTCCCTTTGTTTTAGAGCCTTGGGATGAAGATCTGAAGTTTCTCCTTTAAAATCTTGTGGTGAGATTTCAGGTTCCCAGGTCCCCATTTTCTACTGGTGCAGAACTCAGAGTGCTCTGGTTGGAAATGGATGGGCTGGTGGTCACCTTGACCTACCAGTGTGCCATAAGACATTCATTTGTGTCATTAGAGACAGCTATGGCTCTGTGGTCATAAACACAGAATATAATTGGGGAAAATTGAGGACTTTTCCAGAATAGTGATTATGGCCAAATGTTGGTTCCTTGACGGATGAAGAAAAAAAATGGTTTCTCAGTCTGGCCTAAAAGAGTGCATCTTTTTGAATGTTTCACCAGGATCTTTGGCCTTGGAGATTCACCACAATGAACACTCACTCCCTCCCCACACTCCTGCAGCTGGTGGTGCAGGACCTGCAGGGACAAGAACTTGGTCATCCAGGCTGTGAAGGAACTTCCTAGACAGCTCTCCCCACCTCTCTTCATGGAGGCCTTCACCAGGGCACACACTGAGGTCCTGAAAGCTATGGTGCCAGCTTGGCCTTTCCCTGCCTTGCAATGGGGGTTCTGATAACAATGAGGAAACTAGAGATCTCAGAATCTCAGCTGGGTATTGTCAAGCTGCAGGCTCAGAAACTACAGGGCTTGCAAGCTGTGCTACATGGGCTTGATGTGCTGCTGGCCCAGAAAGTTCACTCCATGTGAGGGTGACCAGGTATCCTGGAGGGAGAGCTGTGGAGATCTAGAAAAGAAACAGTAGGGAGAGTGGGGGTATTATGGCTACAGTCTGATAATATCCCTAAGAAGGATCAGAGAAGCCTTGGCCATTGTTGAGCCCACTGCATATTGGCTGGAGGATGAGAAGGACAGCTAATGGTAGAGGAAGAAAGGAAAGGAGCAATAAATACTGTAACTGACTGCTACCACTGACACTAGAAGTAGGGATTTGGCCAGATCCAATGGGGAAAGAGAAAAGTAAGGGAGCAAAAGAAGAAGAGAAGGAAATAGCTGATGTCTCGAAGGAGGAGTAAAGCACAGGAAGAAAGCAGGATCCAGGCCTCAATTCTGAGACTACTCTAAAGGTGTCTTCTGGAGGTGGAATCAGCAAGTGCTGGACCTAAGGGACATTCACCAGAGCTTCTGGAGAGTCTGGGATAGAAACCAGGTAGATGGCTGCTTCCCAGAGACTATGAGTAAGAGAAAAACAGAAAAGAGAAGGGCATAGGTGGCAGCGGAACAGTCCCTGAACATGATCATAGGCCTGTGCTTCACACAGTGCAACCTAGGCACTTTCCTGTCCTGTCTCTTTGAATGGATCTAGGAGAGAAAATATTCTCTGCAACTGAGCTGTGAGAAGCTGCACATCACAATGGTGTGCATCCAAAATATTATGAAAGTCCCAGAAATCCTGGACCTGGGTTGCCAGAAGAAGTTAGAATGTCATCACTTGTAGTCACTTCCAACCTGGCTCTTTTTGCCCCTTACCCAGACCAGATGCAAAATCTTCACAAGCTACTTCTCTCTCACATCTCTGGGCCTGCCTGCATTTCCACAGCAGAGTGGAAACAATTGATCACCATAATTCACTTCTCATTTTCTCAAGTTGCACAGCTTGAAGAAGAGATATGTAGACCATCTCTTTCCTGGAAGGTCACCTGGACTATCCACTTGAGTAAGATGGGGCATTCTCTCTTCAGAGACAGCAGAGACTTTTTTGTTCTAGTAAGTTACTAAATATGGATTTTGTGCTAGCTGCAGGAGATGTACCAGGCACTAGAGTGTCAATGCATTGCCTTCTTCAGTACTCTATCCTAAAGAGCAATCAAACATAACCACTGAATTAGAATTGTAGGTCTGGAAAGAGCCACAATGCTAAGATGCTAGATGTGAGAGGACCAGAAATAGTGAGGGAAGGCTTTTGACTTATTCCTCAGCAAGCGTGTCTTGGTTAAGGTGCTGAGAAATAAGAAAAAGAGGGTGCCGTAGGAGTGAAAGACCTCAACCCTCATATTCACCGTGTGAGCTCCTTGCTTAGCTGCTGTGTGATGGGCAGCAAGCCTGTCCCTATGTTCCGCTCTGAAGAAAGGTGCAGTGGTCTTCAGGGAGGGTACTGAGCAGACCAGAAGTGAAGAGCAAGAGTCCAGGACTGGGAACAGGGACACAGACTTTCCTGAGGACACATGGGCAACCCCAGTCCATGTGGCAGCACCTTGCCAGGTTTGTCCTTCCTCACTGTCTCCCTCTGGGGTCAGCTGGCCAGATTCATGGTTTCCTACCGGGCAGTGAGAAAGGGGGGATTTAAATATTGGAGACTAAGCCAGTAACTCAAGTATTGATGAAAGGCCTCACACTAAATTGGGGTGACACAAATGGTCGGCACCTTCAGCATGCAGCATCCTGGTGATGATCATTATCAGATGATCAGTGACAAGTGACCAGTTTTTCTCCACTTTGTAGTTTTTCCTCACCACCCCCTACTCCTCACCACCAACTGCCAGTGCTAACTGCTTTGTCTCTCTGCAGGTGCCTGACGTTCCCCTTGGAGACACTCGCTGTAACTCACTGCCAGCTTTCACGCTCAGACTGGGAACATCTGTCCCAGTGTCTGAGCATCAGTCAGGTAAAACACCTGTATCTGAAGGGAGTCAGACTGACTGTTTAGTGCTGAGCCCCTCTGAGTTCTGCTGGATAAAGTTTCAGGCACCCTGAACACCCTGCACCTCACGGCCTGTGGAATCAGACTCCCAGCTCAGTGCCATCCTGCCTTCCTGTGCTGCTGCTCCCAGCTCACCAGCTTCAGCTACATAAAGAACTGCACTGCTGTGGCCACCTTGGATAAGCTGCTGTACCACACTGCTAAGCTGAGTAACTTAAACCAGGAGCAGTACTCTATTCCGCAGGACATTTTTCTTCTCCGGGATTCTGTCCACCCACTGAGACTGGACCAGGTTCATGATGCACTGATGAGGATTGTGCAATCATCTCGACTCCTCCTTACTCAGTTGACCTTGTTTCCAGATTAGACCTCATAGAACTGTATTTTCTGATTGGAAAAACCATGAATTGTCTGATCAATGATGTTTGGCCCAAGAAACTAATGGCATCAAAAGGAGTTGATGCTATATTGACTATTTCCCTCCCATTCTTTAATTTTCTCTGGGTGACTGTTGCTTTCTTGTTTCTTGGTTTTTCCCACTCTTCCTCATACACCTAGGGTACTGAGGACTCATCTCAGTGCCTTTTTACTGAGCTAAAACCACATCCTTTTGCTTCTAAGCAGAGTCCCTTTGTATTACTCAGGCTGTGTATGATCTTACAATCCTCCTTACTCATCTTCCAGAGTGCTGGATTATAGTCATGGGCCATTATACCCAGTTGTTCCTTGCTTGTTTCTGTGGGTTTTCTTTGGGTTAGTCCAAGCTTGTCCACCTGCAGTTCATGTCAGCCGTGTACTCTGTATGGTAGATTTTGTTTAGGCATTTCAGGAATTGAGATTGGGAATGTGCCCGCTATGGTAGGTCATTGGTGAACCCAAGGAGTGGGGGCGGGGGGGGGGAGAAACAAGGAAGAAACATATAGAGAAAAAAGAAATTCTTAAAAAGATACTTTGTTACAATGACCATTGGTATCAGGAGCCATGACACTATGGCTCCTGGAACATTCTGAGTGTGTAATGAGTAAAACTTCTTACCAATGAGGCTCAGTATTAACCAGACACCAGGAGACTGGCCATGGGTCATGGGTGGATCTAGGATGTTAATATTTTGGTCATTGGCTGTGTTGACAAAAGGTTTTGCTGCACAAGTGAGGGTCACTCACATGGAGCTAGAATTATGCCATACAGTATATGAGCCACAGTCTTGAGGATTCCTTAATCCATGCCTGCCATCCTGGTAGGTTCGAACATTTCTTAAACTAAGGTAGTCATGGCCACTAAAGATAAACCAGTTCCCTTTTACTGAAATACTAAAATCATACAAACATACAACACTTTATGACTATATCTACCCTTATTAAAAGATTCTTTTGTGGGACTAAGTCAAAACAATGAAAAATTTTCTCCCCTCTCTCTAAAAACAAGAGCATAACATTTACTGATTTCAGCTTGTCATCAGAGGGTGTACAATGATTAAGTACCTAGGAATAAAGATGTTTCCGTATAGTGGTGCTTGGTTATAAATAAAGTCATCTAAGTGAGGGCTTCCTGTTGGAATCCTTGAACTAGCCGTGTTAATCAAGGCATTTTAGGCAAAAGCATTGCTGTCCCTGTCGAAGAAGGGTAATGGTGTGCACAGCTGGTTAAGTCCTTGAAAAACCCAATGAGATGATGCACTTTGGGATAGGCGTAGGAGCCAGCATAAATAATCTTTCAAAATTACAAAGCATATTTGGTACTTTTAAAGAATGCAATGCTAAAATAATTTTAATATGGTTTGGTGTCTCAAAATAAGACTATTTTTGCTACTACTGGGGATTGAAACAGAGGGATTCAACGGAGCTATTTCTCCACCTCTTTATTTATTTTTTTAAATTTTGAGATAGGATCTCTAAAAGTCTCTAGATTGCTCAAGATAGGCTGGAATTTATAATCCTCCTGTCTCACTTCCCAGAAAACTGGGATTACATGCATCACTATCAAGCCCAGCTTCAAAAAAAGAACAAAAAACATTTTAAAAAGCACTGAATAAGAATTCTTTCCTGAGCCAGGCATGGTGGTGCATGCCTGTAATCCCAGCACTTGGGAGGCTGAGGTAGGAGGGTCACTGTGAATTCAAGACCAACCTGATCTACATAGGGAGAGAAAACAACAGAAACCCATTCTTTCTTTTTTAAACAAATACTGAAAATCATAAATTGTTAGATCCAAAAGCAAATGCAACACTTAGATTTTTTTAATGTATCTCAAGAAACTATCTTCCAAATTTTCTCTTAAAAAGGGGGTGGTTAAAAAGAACCTTACACGTTTCATATACACACTTTTTAAAAACAGGACTACTATCTAAAATATATAAAGAACTGAAAAAAATCAGACCCCCTAAATTCAAAGACCCAATTCAAAAATGGGCATCTGAAATGAACAGACATATCTCAGACAAGGAAGTAAAAGCAGCAAACTAATATATGAAAAAATGTTCAACATCACT